GAGCCTCCCTAAACGAGAGGGTGAGCTCTCAGTGAAAGTAAGCGGATCGATCGAAGATAAATTTCTGGGTCTCTCGCACATGATTGACTCGTGAATCGTGATCCTTTTAACTTCTTCCTCTTCTAATATCGAGAGGAATAAAAATCCAGACGCGGCTACTTTCTATTGATCATAAATTTCTCTGAGCTGATAAATAGAAAGGAAAATTGCTGTTCGATTAGAATTCAGTTTCTCTACTACGCTCTCACGTCACGTTAATCTTTATTGTTTTTAGAATTACGCAATACCGCACAAGCGTATCTGACAACAAAGCTGACGCTCGGTATTCAAAGCTGACATTCGGTATTCATTCCGCTTCGGATTTCGCGCGTACGCTAACGTGTGTTCCTCTCGAGCTCGCGTTTTCACACAGCGAAGTCTCATGAAACGACACGAACGAGCCCGTTACGGAAACGAAAGCTCGGTGTTTGCGCTTTAATAAGCGAGATAACGGGGCCACGTTCGTCTTCCGGGGAGGAAGACGTCTTCATGTAATATACAAGGCGGATTCGTGTAATTGAAGGCGAAGAACGCAGATTCATAGTATTAGGGATGTGCGCTCGCCGATGTGCCGTTTCCTCCGAGAAGAAGTAAAATGAATTCGTTGGAGCATGCACTTTCGGCGGGGGCGAGGCGAGGTAACGCGCGGTTTCAAGGTAGCTCGTAGAAAAACACCGATGAATCGCCTCGCGACGATTTGAAAGCTTATCGCTCCTGTCAAGTGCATCACGCGATAATTCAACGCTGGCCCCACCAGCGCCGACGTTATCTCGGTGTATTTCACATAAAAAGAAAATCTTAAAAGCGACAACTGGAAAGTGAGGACGATTTTCCACAGCTGAGCACGCACGTATCGCGAATTTTTATCTGTGCCTCGAGGACATTTCACAATCTGGCAAGTCACCTTTTATTCTTTTGAGATCTGATTCTTTTCTTTATAAATAATCTGAGCTATATCCTCACTTGACGTTATAATTTTTTGTAATTTTTAAAAATTATGATTCAACGCTTCTCGCTTGTTTATCGCATCCGTGGGAAACTTTGAGGAAAGAGGAATGAGAGAAACACGCCGCATAGAACTTTGTATTGCCGCGATTTCTGAACGGACAATACATCCGCCTCCCTCTGAGTACCTACTCCCTCCCCCCTTTCTCTCTCTCTCTCTCTGTCCGCTAAAGCGTAACGCTTGTCGGCACACACCAGGTAGCTGCGCTTTAATTACTCATTTTTCTTTACCGCTCCAAAAAGCCACCGATGTGTAATAGAGTCGGCGCGGGGCTCCTCCCGCTGCGCGCGCGCGCGCGCGCGCAGCTTTACGCGCGCGACTGGAGCGGAGCGGAGCGAAGCGGAGTGGAGCGGCAGTGAATCCCGGCGACGCGCGAAGCGCGGATGTGTCCGGCGTGCGCGTCGTCTTTTGTTGTCAGACGACTGTTGATGTTTGCACAGTTTATTTGTTCGGATTTTTTTTTATTCAACATTCGCGCATCGTTCGTTCATCCGACGTCCGATTTCGATCGACGCAGCCGACGATTTACTTTCCGCCTTTCTCCAATCTTATCGTACGTGATGCACACGCGATCTCGCAAGTGTTGTGCGTACATACGTGTGAGCTTTCAAAATCAAGTGTTTCTGAGTCAACGCGCACTGAGTATCTCGCGGCTAATTTTCTTGACGGCTACTTCAAACGGACGCTAAGGCGCGTTTATTTTACTTCCAACATATTACCCCTCGCCTCCATCTGATTTTACTTCCGCGTTTCGCGCAGGACCCACGAGATGCAAAAAAAAAAAAACGATAGAAAAACGTCGAGCTTTCGTACGCGGTTAGCGTACTAAAAATATACGTTAAAGCGTAACGAGTACTATATCCTCCTCTCGTCACGATCCGACGACTCGGCAATTTTTACTCTCGGGAACCGTCGTCGCTGGAACGGTTCGCTCATAAGATTTTCCGCGATAGAGGCCGATTCGATAAAGAGCGACGCCTTCGCTCGTCCTCGCGCATTAAGCATCGTTGTTTGTGTCCTTCAGTCGTTGCGTAGTTTCCGGCCGGTGTACGATCGCAAGACGACGCACTCTCGCCCACGTCGTATCGCGACGCGCGACTGGCGCAACGCTCTCGATGGTCTCCTTCCGTCGTGCGGTTCGTCGATTTAAATACGCGATATCAACATCCCTTCGAGATCTCGACGAGAGACTTGGTTCCCGAGGCCGGTATCAAACGTAGTAGCAAGCCTACGAGCGCACCGTGCAACAACAAACTCGTTTCTTCACGCTGTACTGCCTTACGCTCGGCAACGAGACTCCGCGTTAATTATGTCTCTCTCTCTCTTCTCTCTCTCTCTCTCTCTCTCTCTCTCTCTTTCTCTCTCTTTCTCTCTTTCTATTCCTCGCGACTGAAAGATAATTCTCCGAACCTCGCATCATGTTACATCAGCGTTTTTTTTCGCACCTATATCGAACCACTGGGGACTACCGTTTTCTAAATATTATGACGGGATTCTTTTTTTAGATTTCGCGAGAAAAAACGTGAGCGTCGACGAGCGCGAAAAGATTTGGGACGACGAAATTTTGTCTGGGAGTTTCAAATCTCCTCTTGACTTTTCGCGGCTTGAGTTTTGCACCGAGAGAGAAGTGTCATTGAGCCTTCGAATTAAAACCGTTGTGTCGACAGCTCGTATGTACGATTGCACGGTTCAGCATTCCTCTATTCTGCAGACGACTTTTCAGACATTTCCCGTTTGCAATCCACACAACGGATTACAAACGCTTGATTCAACGAGCATTGCACCGCACAGACGAGTTCCTCCAGATTGAATGCCGCGGTAAAAAGCGACCCTCGCGAGAAAAACCTCGCCTTTTCCTTTCTTCTCTTTTTTTCGTCATGCCTTTATCTCCGCTATGTTCCCGACGGTGATTAACAGAAGCACCGTATTCGATTTCCGAGCAGAGATAGCACGAGGCTCGCGTCGTTACGAGATAAGTCGTTTTCAATTAAACGTGGCCGAGTCGGAAGAGCTCTTGAGGCAAGTGCGCTGGAAAATCGGAGGAAAAGAAAACATCTCGCGCGCGCGAGGTCCAATTGAGTAACAAAGATAGGAACGCGCTTGGATTTAATTGAAGAGTCTTCGTCACGAGCTCAAACGTGGCTCGTAGATCGCGGAATTCCATTTTCGATCTCGTTCTTTTCGAGGCGAACCAGCTGCGTATAACGATTTGAATAACGATTTGAATAACGATTCCGCGGCGGTGCGACATTTGCATTCGCGCGAGAAGGAGAAAAAAAGAAGGAACGCGGAAGCGCATTCCGCCGCGCTGCCGATGTAATTCCGCTCATGCGATATCGCGCTCATGTCCCGCGGTCGCTCGGTCGGTCGACACGATAATTAAGCTTACGATCCAATTCCGGCGTGTGTCGGTGACCTTTCTCTTTCTCTTTTCTTATCTGGTCCACCGTGAAATCCCACGGTGGACGTCGCGTTGACGTCAGGGTGGAGGGAAACGCGCGCGTCCTCGCGGATAAATTTAGCCCTTTAACGCGCGATTTTAGGGGCGTCGCTCGCTCTGACCTTTTCGAGTACGAGCGCACCGCGGAATTTCTGCAGGGCGGGAGAAGCGAACAACTGGGGCAGACGCGAGAGGGGCTTCCGACAGAGAACCCGGGGGCTTCGGAAAGAACAATCATTTTCCGGGCAGTCATCCCAATCATTGGATTGAACGTATTGGATCTCGCGCGTATTCCTCGTGCCTATCGTTTTTCAGTGAAACAAAAGGAGAAGAGGAAACGCAACGTTTTCGAGCGCGACGACGATAGCGATGTGTACGTGATAACGCTTTTCAAAAAACCGCCCAGGTGTAAATGTCAAAATAGATGGTCAGCAGTCAAATGCGCGATCGAGCGAAGTAACCGGGAACAAGAAAGCCTGAAAAGAATCGCGGCGCGATCGCGCTCGCTTCTCGTCGAGTCCAAGGACGTGCGATATCCTCAAAGATATCCTCAATTGCGTCGCGTGAGATCCGAACACGTCGTCGCCGCTCGAAATTAATTCGATCGACGTCGATTGACTTGCGTTGCTCGTGGCGGCACGTCACGATATGGGTCGGGCGAGCGGACATTGTTACGTGACACACAAGGCCGAGGTGGAAGCTGCGCTGGGATGGGAACGAAACGAGGGAGAAAAGAGAGACGTGACAGCCGCGTTACGCGTGAACGAATAGTCGCGTTCGCGGCCGGCAGGACTTCCGATACACCCGAGCTCGATTTTTCAATCAGAAAACGATACTCGGATACCGCGCGCCGAGGCGATTGTAATTAAAGCGCGCCCACTCCCGTTTACGTGCGTGGAATTACGTGTGATGTAATTACGGGTGTAATTAAAACTTGCATTTTTTGCATCGCGGAAAATTACAAGGATACGTCAGATAAGAAAGGATGATGTAACAGCTCTTTCTTTTTTTTTTTCTCCTAGATTTCTTAGGTTTTTTTTCACGAGAGTTCAAGTTGGGATTAAAATCCGTTTGAGATTTGTGTAACGCTCCCCTTTAATACGTCTCGTCTTATCATTCTTGTTCGCGATTTTATTGCGTCGAGGATTGGCGCAATGTAGAATAAAATAATTTTATACGAGTGTATTGGTGCGTCATCGGATCGATCTTTCCAATTCACCTTCATTCTCACTTTTCCGAGAAATTGATACACGATGGAAACGATTTGAATGCCGGTATCTGTGTCAGCCCGGAGGCCATCGATTACCGTTCGCCGGAGGCGAAAAAAAGAGCGTTACAGCGTTTTCACACAAGTGTTTGATTATTTTTAAAACTGCTTTTTTTCTTTTTCACACATGAAGAAGACACGAAACGGAAGAAGCGCGAGTGACACCGCGTGGTCCAGGAACGTTGCCTTCGGAAACGCCGCGCAAACCTGTGAGTGCGCTCGACTTTTCGCCGCACGCGTACGCGTACGCACGCACGCGTGAACAATTCAATTAGGGAATTGCGGACACGTGCGTGTCTGCCCGCCCGCTCGCTCGCGTGCAGCCGAGCTCGATCGCACGACGAGATAATTCACGTTGTACTCCTTTCCGTGGAATGAATGAACGTGACCCACGCATTTTTCCCTCCCGCCTGGGTCGCGACACAGAGAGAAGAAGAAGGAAGAAGAGGGAAAGAGAGAGACGGAGAGAGTAGATTGAAGAAACGAGCGGACACGGGGCGTGTGCGAGCTTGTAAATCGTGCACTTTAAAGCGTCTGTGCGCCGCGATAAGGCCCATTCATCGTGATATATATATATATCGAACACCGAAGGAATCCCGAAAATTCACGAGCTGCATCGAGATTCAGGGTGTAATATGTGTTATCTGCATTGGAAATGAATGATGAAAGTACAACGACATGTTGCGTATCGATCGTTCGAGGATCATCCCAGAAGATCGCGGCGCATCATGATAACTCTCTCGCCTTTTTTTATCATAACGTTAACGTAACGTGACACAACGACACACAGATGCGAAATCTATATTAGGTTTTTCGGCTTTACTCGCGCTTTATAGCGCGCGAGGATCGACCGGGTATTGGCGCACATATCGGTCTCCGGGCACCGGAGCGCGATTAAGCGCGGGAGCGTATCGTTCCTCGCGATTTTACGAGCGAGATAATAAAATCATCGACGCTGCGAGAGCGAGAGAGAGGAGAGGAAGAGACAAGGAGGCGCACGGGAGTGCGAGGAGATACGTGCCGAGGGGCATCTGCTCGACATGACACACGCCAGCGATTTCCCCCCCGCGATACGGATAGATGCTACGTGGGAGGATCATCATCGGGCGGGCAATAAGGTCGAGAGCAATTGAACTCCCGGCGGCGGCGTCGGTGGATTTCGCCGTCGGTCCAGGAGAAACGGACGGCGCCGCATTCCGTCGATCATGGAGAAGAAGAGCGGAGGAGAGGCGCGGCCGAAGATCGAGATCGTGCGGGTCTCGTCCATCGAACGCAGCAACTTCCGACCGCTGGACGGGGTCCAGCTACGTGCGACCTACAGCCACGTGCGAGTGGGCACTTACTGCCCGGAACCGGAAGCGACGAGCGGACCGACGATCGAGAACAAGCCGCCGATCGAGCAGACGCGACGTTTCAAGAAGTGAGTGGACTTTTGCCGCGTCTCTCTTTCGATCGATATCACTTTAATCGTGAGAAACGAACGCGATATATTGCCTTTTATCGCGATAGGACGTAATCAGTTTCACCGAGATAAGAACCGTCCGGCCGATCGATAATGCCAATTTTTTTATCATGTCTTACACATTATGTTCCGTATTTAATAAGTTATATATCATGATTCTTTTTTCTTCTCTTCAATGGCGTGAAATAGAATGATTTGTGGAATCCTTACAGAAATTTGGGACCAGTATCAAGACTGCTGAGACGTCGTCATCACGCGACATGCCTTGCCACCAAATCCTGTGATAACATTTATAGCGTGAATAGGAATAGTAATTCTCTGGACTGGAGAGTCAGCCAGAACGCCAACGAGCAAGGTAATTCATTAACCGTGACTCATAACGTCGTTGACAAATTGCGAGAATTCGTGACTGCCACGCACTTACAAATTGTTCACTTGTTTTAAATTTTATTATCAACTATATACAATTTTCATAAATTCAAATTTCTTTTCCCGTGAAAATTCCTATTTGAAAAAATTCTCTCACTTAAATGAATTAATCGCGTATGTTTGATACGAAACGCTACCGCACCTTTCAATCGACTTTATTTTTTTTAATTCGCGTTCGTCTCTCATAACAAAGATACATATTACAATAATTAAACGAATTAATTAATTAAACAAGGTTGGTCGCGATTGCACCGGTAAAATCCTCTGTAAATTTCAATTGGTCATGTTTCGCTTTTCTTTTTTTCTTTTTTTTTTTTTGTTTTTCTTTAGATCTGCAAGCCAGGCAGAGCAGCAGCCTAGATTGGAGAGTAGGAAGGTCCGTCACTTTCGGCTCCAACCGGCTCCACTGGGGAAACACAACGCGAAGCGCCGAGCAGCTTTCCAGGAGCGCGCCTCTCACTTCCGATCATCTTCAGACACCGAGCACGAGGTATGCTAATTCGCGCCGATGCACCTCGCGCGCAGAGGTGCATCCGTTTCGCGCACGCAACGAAAGCAAATAATTTATGACAAGCTCCGGCGGCCGAGAGCGCGGCCGCCGAGCAGAAAAGTATAACGGTAGACTTTTGTGAGCCGAGAAGAAATCAGCGCGGGCGGTAATAACGGTGGGAGGGCGGAGGAGGGTTTGGCGAGGGGCGAATCGCGATAAGAGAGGAGGATACCGGGAAAACGCGATAGTCGAGTTATATTGGAAACGGCAATTAATTTGCTGAAAAACAAAGTGCGGATAATGACGTTCGTTTGGAAGACACGCGAGGAAAATGTAAAACTCGGCGGAAACGCGGAAAAAAAAGGTAAATTGATTACACTTTTACAAGATAATTAACCAAGTCTGAAAGACCGCGCTTAGTAGAGTGAATGAATATTCTACGATTCAAGGTATCGTAAAAAGATTAATATTAAAAAAAAAAAAAACATTCAATCAAATTATCGCGAAATCTTTAAAAAAAAAAAGAGGAAAATTTTGATAAATTTCTTAACTTCTATAAAAGTTATTTTCATTGCGTCATATCCTCCTTTTCATATCGTCGAAAGGTTGAAATGAATGAAAGGTGAATGATTAAAATATCGCTTTAGATCGAAACTCGTGTCACTATTGAGACGACTCTCCCCGCGCCTGTCCCGACCCGGAAGCAAGGGCTCGCTGCAATCATCCCCGACTATTTGTCCATGGGTCCAAGTTGAGTATTCGACGGAATCGATCGAAGGCGGCAAGCGAGAGGAGTCGCAAGAGAGCGATGCCAGCTTCCAACAGGAACTACAATTGAACGAGCTACGGAAACGGATGGCCGGGATTGCCTCCACGTCCCAGGTGATTGGTAATCTACGTAAACGTCTCGTTCCGTCTCGTCACACGCAATAATCGATAGTCGAATAATTACGAGTATGTCATCCGATAACGAGCACGTCGATAGCTTCGTACAAGGAAAGTCGTTGAATTCACGTTGATTGCCGACTGCAAACGATAGTGTCAGAACTCGCACGCTTCATTTTATAATAATCTCAAAGAACATGCTTCATTAGGCTCAAGTATGGCTCGAGGAACACGCGAAAGAAATAGGGCAAACTTGAAGCTCGACGTTCAATCGTTCAATCTTTTTATTGCGGTAGTTAAGCAACGATCAATCAAACGAACGAATTTACGATCCCTTAAAGAATTGCCCGATCACCAGGTCACCCGGAACGGAACTGCATCGAAGGCGCGCCCATTAATAGCTTCCGGCGTGAATCGCTTGAAATAGAAGACGGTACGAGAAAAAATCCGAGGCGGATAAACTTCCTATTTAATTTGATGGGTGACTAAATCCTCCTTAATGCGCTCTTAAGTCGTTCGGGTTCGCGCTAAGTTATAATCCTGCCGCGTCATCGCGGTTGGTGACATTAAAACGGGTTTTATCACGTGTCAGGTCACGACGAAGACTCCCACTAGGAATGACGCAGGACAGCAAAATCTGCCGCGACCCAGGATTCAAGTGCAGGAAGTCGAAACCGAGTGTAACCACCGGAACGTCCGCACAGCGTAAGCCTTCACTCTTCTCTCGATCTTTCTTCTTTCTTTCTCGTCCACCCCCGCAACCACAGCTCGACCCGAGAAACTTCGCGTCACCAGCACAGAATCGCGCCAATTCCTGTAGAAGATGCGAAGCGTGCGCATCGTTTCCTCGTAACGCACGTGAATTGCCATGTCCAACCTCTTCTACTTAACGCGCGTGTTTCACGAACTCCGAGGGTGAACGGAAGAAAAGTTTCCGGATGCTGCGGAAGGCAATGTTCAAATACGAATCTACCGCTGGAGACTTTTCTCTCGAGCATCCCGTTAGCGCAATTTCCCTGCTGAACTTCGCATCAGCTTCACGATTGCATGAATCCTGAAAACGTTTGTTGTAAAGGAGGATTTTCTTTTGTGCCATGTATATAATACCGCATCCAATAAATAACTGTATGTTTCCTGCATTGTGATCTTGATCTTTACCTTAGCAAAATCACCGCAACAATTCTCACAACTTAAGCATGTAAATCATTCACTGTGAACGTGAGATCTATAGAAAAATTTTTTTTCAAGAATACGAATTATTTTTTAAAGATTGGATTATTTCTGTATATCGAAATTTAAACATTGCAAGTAATATTTATTCTCATGACGATTAAATTGATATAAATCTTCTGTCAGCAGTTTTCATAAAAATTTTTTCAAACGTTATATGACTAACGCATTCAACATGATTTTTATCAGAGAAAATAATCAAGTATTCACTCTTACATAACAATAAATTTATTCAGATACAGATATTGTATTCAACTCGTTTGCAAAATAAAATCTGAGAATATTTAAAGTGCACTTTAAGTGCACTAAAAATACGATTCATCATACATAATTCACAATTTTTTCTCTTTTAATTTTTATTAACAAACCAATTTCATACATAATTAAAATAGCTTTCGTAATGTATAGATTATCTCTGTAAGAAGTGTTTCTTAACGTATATCTAATTTTAGATATATCTAATTTCTTATCGAATTTATTTGTTTGTATTAATATCCTTTGTGTTTGTATATTTTCATTCAAGATACTGTCAATCGCTTAAATCAGCAGCTTTCATAAAATTTATACGTGCGTGCGTGTGGTTTTCACGCTTTTCTTTAACAAAAACTTGCGAAAAAAATAGACTTTCGCTCGCGAGGAACGAATATTGGTAAATTTATTAAAATTATTACAATTATATTTTTAATGAAAAAAATATTTCATTCGCAAAGAAGAACATTGCTCATCTCGATTCGAGAAAATGTAACATTGGTTGATCGCAACAAAACCAACAGTTATACTTTACAATACTTTTTCTTTTTCTTTTCTTTCTTTTATAATTTCTTTCAGTAAAGCTAATTTAGACTTAGAAACAAAAAACTTTATATCAGACATGACTACTCGTAATATGTACATATAAAAGTGTAAGAGTAACCATCATAGAAATGATTCAGGTATCGTTGAAGACGACATATCATGGATGACCTATAGACTAGAGAGAGATGATTATCTCGTGATGGAATCTGGATTAAAATACCTTCCTGCTCATCAGAATCCACAAAGTCTATCGTGTCTTCTGTCTTTGGCGTACCTTTGACGTCTTGAGCATGAAACTGTATTATCACGTCGAGCAGAAGCTCGTCATCCTTATTGGCAGATTCATCTTCATTATCACTGATTGGTGTACCACTGCGAGACAATTCATCCGGAGACAAGGAAACTTTATCCTCGTCGTATTCGTAGTTACTCGAAGAATGCATACCATCTGATTGACCGTCAAGATGTTTGGCTACTTTTTTTTTATTAGGCGAACTTCCTTTTGGGGAAGGAGGATCGTCAAGTCGCTTCCTTTTCAATTCTTGATGCGTTTCGTTTATGTTCAATTTGGAGGTTGATGCTCGCGATGCAGCGTCACCGATGCTCACGTCAGATTGGTCAGCCTTTACTGGCTCGTCTAGCGTATCTTTCAATAACGATCTATTGTATAACAATGTGTAGCAACCCGTCGACCATCTCTGTAACTCTAGCGTCATCTTAGGTTTCTTATCTTCTTCAGGTACCAAGTCGAGTCCTGTATATTCCTTTAGCAATCGAAAGAAGGAAATAGACTTGAATAAATCACAGAAATCTTTCAATACTTTCGGTAAAGTCTGTTCATCGGCTATCTCGTAGTGACGTATATCCGCTGGACCGATCATTCGCCAGCTGATATCCTTCGACGTTAAATCATTTGCGATTTGTTGATATATCGATTCCTTCAAGAAACCTTTAAGAAATGTATAAGAGGACATCTCAACCTCTTCCTGAATCTGCTCCATTATGCTAGGCTCTAAATAATCGTCGGAAATCCAAGAGAGCAATTTCACTTCGATGGAGTTTGGTTGCACAAAAGTCTTGGCTGGTTCGCATCTTGGCGACTTATGGAAATCCTTTTTTAACGGTCCGTGAAACCAACCGTTGATCGACCATCTGCATTTTTTGTCTGTCAATACCTCGGCCACTTGATGGTAGGAATTGTTTGCCACTTCAAAAAATAGGAAAGAGTTAAATTTCGGGATTAATGACTTCACTACTTTTCTAGGCGAGCCTTCTTCGTCCGTGTCAAAAAGATCTAAGGCACCACCATCTGCCTCTGACCAATCATCAGTCAGATATAATATATACGCGATTCTTCTATCATCCATGTTGTCGTCGTGACACAACAAGTAATCTGTATTGAAGTAACGGGCACTCGACATCGAGACTTTTTTATTCAGTTCAATGTCTGTATTACGCTTCATCCATGATGTCAAATCGTCTCGAAAAGATCTGTTCAATCTTTGGATGCATTGATCATTGGCATAGAACAGATCCTCGGTTCTCTCAAACTGATAAAGATCGTGAACTTTACGTATATGATTATGATGTTCCAACTCGCTCTTTAAATTCTCTATAAATTTCTCATCCCTCAAGAAATTTGATATCCTGCAGACTTTAAAAGGTTTCGATATGACTTCCAGATTGGTACCCTTGAAATCGCTTTGGGAATGCCAGTACTTTTGGAACTCTTCTTGAAATTCCATACTGTGTATGTGCCCCGAAAACAAATTTTGATCCGCCATATCTGTCCAGTGTTTTTGTTAAACTAATTTAGAAATCTCAAATCTACAAATCCTTCTTCGCTTAATATACAATTTCTCAACTAAACTATGCACAAATTATAAATTGGCAGGAATTAAATGAATTAAAATTACTGTAACACGAAGCTTTTTTCTTCACATTTCGTCGATTTCCTTAATCAAAAAATCCCGAAAAAGAATCTATTAGAATTGAATGTATCGATATCGAAAACATTACCAGTTTTTCATTTCTTACCGCTTGGAAGGTCGCAACAAATGATTCAAAATTTCCGAACGCACGGGTCAGTCGTAACTTAACTTAACCTCTTTTCCGTGTTCGTCGAAAGGATTCGTCAGCCAAGTCTCCAGAATGACGGATAATTTTCTGATGTCTGATCTTGCGATGTGACAGTGTAGCTTCGTCCAAAAAATGCTCCCAATCGGTTGGCCCACTGCGTACAATCCACGTGATAGTCCCAGTCGTAACACGTGTGCTTTACAAACAATAAGAGAAGAAAGCTGTTAATCGCAAGTGTCATCCGTAACGATTGTCATTACTGGCCAGTGGCGATAATTTTACCGGATTCTATGTACCACGCAAATTATGAAAATCAACCGATCCGTTTTCTCTCTCGCGCGTAAACAATCGCAACAGCAGCCACGATCCAACGACCTCGGACGACTTCCTACTTCCTACTAACCTTTCGAAAAATGTCCGTTCTTCGTTTCAGCCAGCTGAAGGCGGCAGGAATGTAGCACTCGTGATAAACGCCCTGTAGAAATCACAGATTCTTGCATTTTCATCAATAATCATCTAACAATCATTGATTTTGTTAATTATTAAACGCTTCGAAAATTTTCATCCCTTTCGTGTCGTGTTTCTGCTTCAATACAAATTAATTTTAATATCGGTTTTATTTAATTTCGTTATCTCTTTTTAATTTTTCTGAATTAAAAAAAGACGAAAATAAATTAAATCTAGATTAAAGTTAATTTACATTGACACATTGATAGACACAGATGTTAGTCGGCTTTTTAAGAATTTTGAATGAGACTTGTTTTAAAAAATAAAACTGACACAAGTAAAGCTCTACAGTGAGCGTATCGACACTAAACTTTTACCTTGCTATTGATTTTTCTGTACCGTTTATTTTTCTCCTATGTCCTCCCTAATTATATCATTTTACATCAGAAAATGTAACGTCGCAGTAGAACCGCGAGGAACAGATACAGGGTACATAAGTACGTCGTGTCGGCGCATTTGAAATTGGCGCGGCCGCCGCTTCGCCGTCGCGTCGTCGGACGGCGCCGTCGTCACCTAGGCAACATGGCGGACGCGTGTCACGTTTGACGGGTGCCGTTGCGTGGTCGCGTGGAGAGAAGAGACTCGCGGGGCCCGGGATCGTTGCGTGATCGGAGCGCCGAGTGGATCGTGCGTGGTGCGTCGCGACACGACGGGTGCGTGGCGTCTCGCGGAGGATCGTCCCCGGGAGAAGCCGTCCGGCCGGAAGCCATCCTGGAGCCTGAGACCCGGAGAACGCGCGCATACCGTGAGTAAATATTGCATTTCGCGTGACAAGTCTCGACCGCGATCCCTCTCCCCCCTCGCCGATGTCCTTCCCCCGTTGAGGCGCGATCCGGTCGCCTTTTCGTGTCTGCGTGGCACGTTGCCTGTGCGCCTCGTATCCTGCTCCTTGCGAAGGGTGGGTCCTTCCGGAGCAGCAGGTAAACACGCGTCTCAGGACACGCGGGGCCCGGGGCCCGAGGCTCCCGCCGGAGGCTTCCCAGTGTCCTTTCGTTTGCGTCGCGAGTACGTTCGCCGTCAGGATCATCGTCGGCTCATGTCCACGCCGGCCTGTCCTGAGGAATATTTTGAGGATCTCGTAGGTATTGTAATCTCTCCTGTTTGTACATTTTGGAATTGGCTGCGCTTACTAGAGTCCTCGAAAGATAAAAATGCGTAATAAACGCGATCAGTATATACGCGATAGAAATATTTCCTTCTCGATTCTCGAAGACTCGCAGTCGTCCTGTCTCAGATTTGATTGGAGTGTGTGTGTGTGTGTGCGCGCGCGCGCGCGCGCGCGCGTGTGTGTGTGTGTGTGTGTGTGTGTGTGTGTGTGAGAATTGTCCGTGGTTCCATCGTTCCTTGTATCCGACTCGAGCAGGTGTGTTTATTTCATCGTGGTCGTAATGGGCGGCCGATGCGACTGGTGAATCAGAAGGATATTTTAATTTCCAATCGAGGAAAGTCGACGTCGCCGGATTAGGTCAGTCATCAGTCGATTGAACGCTATACCTTCGTACATCCACGTCATCGTCGGGGCGTACTCGTTCGGAGCACCCCGGCCACATTCGTCCGTCATTCGCGCGACGTGAACATATATCTAACGTCACAGCCGAACGCAAGTCATCGATCGGCGACTCATGTTCACGCGGGGAGTTCGAACGTTCGGCCGTCCAGGAGCGAGGCGGACAAACGGATCCCACGTTAATTCAGATCCCACGTTGATTCTATCTCGGGGCTCGGAGATAATCTCGTGCTCGTGCCGGCCTTGAGCCGACACCTTCCTCGCGTCCTACGACGCGATCGCGGCGAGAACGGGCCTTCGAATTTTGAAACCGACTCGCGTCGGTTTCATTCGTCCGCGGAGACGGACCAACCTAGCCTAGATGCGTTTCTCGCCGTGTCGCATGGATTTTACATACCGTGATATTCAAGTCGTAAATTGTACGACTGTTATCGATCAGCAAGTGCAGTCACGTGCGTCGCCGGTGATGCCGTTTTTCTTATAGTCCGCTCCAAATCCCAGGATAATTGATGTTTATTTCTCGCGAGTCGTAAGTTTCATTCCGACGGACGTGAAAAATCCACGCGGATTATCTCTCGCGAAGATATCTCGATTATCGATAAGCCGACCAGCTGTGAGAAAACCTCTCAAGTTAACTGACTTCCTTTCCATAAATTGTTTAATTTTAATACTAAAGATTAATTTTTTTCTACTCTTTAGTTTTTTTCTATAGAGTTGATTAATTAAATTTCTGAAGAGGATTGCACATCTTTCACCTGTTCCGTTTTTCGATTTCGAGAGAACGTTATTTTTCGAGCACCTCGTATAAATTTCCGCGTCAACGATCTTTTACTCCGAGCGTGAGTTGAAGTCACGCAAGTCGGCGGTATAAGGCACTTTAAAGCGATCGATGGATCGTTCGGAAAAAGAATGTACGATAGGATGGAATCGATGCATCTCTCCCGCGACGAGATGGATCATTATTCTTTCTCCTCCGGATCTTCTCCGCTCGCCGATAGGATACCTCCGGAGGGTGTCGAGTTTAACGACTGCGCCACTTCAATCGCTAAACTGTCAATCGCGTCATTAAAGCGTTGTAGTCGAAGTTCGACGTACGCCGATTAATGCGGCCGCATGCGTAAACCGTTATGCGAGTCTTGTGCGGGAAAAAAAAAAACACGACATGCCGACCCGCGCATATGCGTAACCCATTTTATTCCATCTTCGCGCATGTTATGAAATAATCTTCGATTTCCGATGAAAAATTCAAAAAGAACGAAAAAAATTTACATTTTTTTCGAAAATTTATAAATATGTTCAATTTGTAAGAGGGGCAATTAGCGCCAATATTAATTCAAGCGTGAATTTACGCGCGTTATTTATATTTTGATCGCAGAAAAGGATTGAATTCGTGAAATATTTCTCGATTCTTTTTCCGATACACTCTATATTTCTCGCTAGCACCTGCTGGCAGCGAGGTCGTGAGATCACTCGGAGATTGTGAGAGCGTTTGATCAATGACGTACGAGCTTTAATAAAGCAATAACGGTAGTGTCTAAGAGCCCGAGGCTCGCATACGTTAAACACCGTATAGATTTTAGTAAGCTTTACAAACATCTATTGGTAAAATTTTAAAAGTTGCGCGTTTTTCGAAATTTATGATAACTTATAATTTTAATCTCGATAATTGCGAAAATTACTTAACTTTTCAGAAGATTTATTTATACGACAATCCAAGACGGTTATCCAGTTATCACATCTCTTTCGAACCAAAAAAATTAAACTAGATAGAACAATTGTGATTTAGACATAAATTTTAATGTTCGTTTACTGACATCGCCGATGTGATGAACATTCGTTACATTATTTGATTAGTTTTCTTATGCGCTAACGTAAAATAAAATACAATAGTTCATCATGTGTATCTCATATTGTTAGCTGTATATTTTACATTAAGGAAAGTGGACATCTGGTCGGAGGAACACAGCTGGTCGACGACGACCGGCACGACCGGTGCAACGTGCAACGTGTTAAAATCGTGTCGGTCGCATTTTCCCTCCCTCATCTCCGCTACGGCAGCGTAGCGGCTTGCCGCAGCATTCGATTCGCTTATGGCATCGTCCGCTCGTCAGTAGAGTGCTTTCGAGTGCGGCGTGTGCGCGCGCCCGTCGAGAGAGATTCCCCGGGTGGTGGTCGGTCCTCGCACGCGCCCGCTCTTTACATCGTTTACATTGTTTCCGCGGGCGGATCTTTACGAGAGAGGGTGATTCTCGACTTTGTTTCCCGGGGCGATGGTGCAGCGAGGTAAAATCACAGCTTTTCAATGGCGATAATAACTCGAAGGGAGTACTCGAACGAGCGGGAAGATCGGCGATCGATAGCCGAGTAGACGGACATTTATACCGAAGATGTATGAGAATCATTTGTTTATTTCTTTGCTTGTGCACGGAAGAAGTCTGTTATCTGCCTTTCCCTCGCAATTCCCCAGCTCGCGATGCTTATATCCCTCTCCGGGATATTACAGCATTACGATTATGGCAGCACCTCTGACTTCCAATTGGCGAATATTTATCATCGGCGTCCTGTTATGTAGGACGCAAATCGCGAATTTTTCTATCTTCCTTCTCATCCCTCGCGACGTAATTCTCGTATAATGCCTCGTATAATGCTGGCACAGTCGCGGTAAAACGCGACGTGACGCAGCTGCCACGTTGCAACCTGCAACGAGGTGATTGCCGCATAATTTCTCGTTGGCCGTGTGGCCGATATCGTAATATTCCGCGTTGTCGCGTTACATTACGTATATGAGATTAAAGCAAAACCGAATATCAGCTGGCGCGATTTGGACTCGGATTACAAAACAAAGCTCAAATACGAGGGTGCTCTTATCCGTCGTAAGAGTGCCAAAACTATGCGAGTATCTCGCGCAGCCTCATTAAAGAGCGTACGTTCGAGCGATGGTAGATGCCATTCGCCTTCTATTTTTACTCCGGACATGTGCTAAATACGATCCCGTCACGCCTCTGTAGTCGGATATTGTTGTCTTCATCGCCTCGTGATGCCCGATCGTTAGAAACTCGCGGCACCTTATTCCACGCGGAAAGCCATTCTTACGCTGCATCTCGTAATTACAATAGCGTCGGCCGACGCGAAACTACCATGCGAGCTCCCCTCGCGCTCTTTGTTGCCGTTTTACACGAAACACCGTACCGTACAATACGGTACGCGTACCGGTTCTGCCGCCGATCGATAAACAGGAATAAAGAACCGCACGGTACTCGGTAAAACGCTTCGGTCTTTTTCTGGAGGCAAGTAACAGACTCAAACGAAATTTTGCACTCGAGGAGAGAGAGAGAGAGAGAGAGAGAGAGAGAAAATCATCATTTTTTTTTCTTCTTTTT